TAATAAGCAGGAGGAAAAAAATGCACATTTGATGACTGAAGAGAGTTGTATGGACACAACTGGGGTCTACTTTATAATATGTTCATTCTACTCCCTGGGGTTTATGCCTAGGATCAGATTTGGATACATGTGTAAGGATATGTCAGCTGTGCTAGCTAGTGGATATACTTAGACTAATTGAGTTCATTGGTAGAACAATTGAATGGGGGGGGGCGGAAGCCATTGAGGGCAATCATGAATGTCAGGGACAATGGAGGAGGAAGATGGGACATGGCAGAGGGTGGGGATGGGGAACCTAGGATGGCAAAACAAAAGGCAAGGTATGCAGGACACAAAAATTGGGAAATCATTTGCTGAGAACATATATGTTGATGTGCTTGATTGAGCCAATGCACAGTGTATTTTGGATGGAAAATTCATATGTGTGTTGTGATGAGAAAAAAAAAATTTATAATAAAAAAAAAGAATCAAATGGGGACCAGCAGTTAGCGTAATGGCTATGTTGCTGGACTCCCATGTAGCTAACGGCAGTTCGAGTCCCGCACACAGTGACTTAAACTCATCCCAGTGCATGTGCGTATGTGCCCAAGATCCCAAGAGGAGAAAGGAGGAGAAGGGATTGCGGTGTGGCCATCAGCTCCGGGGCCAGGGGAGGTGATTTCTCACTGTCTGTCTCTGTCTCTCTAGCAAGCGCAGATGCCCTGTAATGAAAACCTTTCCCCCAAAAAAGAAAAAAATATTTAAAAGAATCAAATGGAGCTGTTAGAGATGAAAGCTGCAATATAGGAAATCAAAACCTCCATCGAAAGTATTAAAAGCGGATTAGTCCTGCAGAAGATCAAATCTTGGATGTTGAAGGAAAAAACTGCCGACCTAGAAAAAAACAATAAAACTGAGAAAATAACCCCCCAAAATGAGAATACTATATGAGAAATAGTAGGTACCATCAAGCACCCAAACATCCAGATAATTGGTATCCCAGAAGGTGAAGAAACTAATAAGAGCATTGATAATCTGTTCCATGAAATCCTGGGAAAAAACTTTTCAAATTTAGAAAAGCATTCAAATATCCAAACCCAAGAAATTCAAAGGACCCTACTAGAATCAACCTAAAAAGATCTTCTCCAAGGCACATCATAGCAAGATTGGCAAAATCCACAAAGACAAGATACTAAAACTGACAAGAGAGAAATGTCAGGTTACTTATAATGGTTATCCCTTTAGGCCAACATTAGACCTCTCATCAGATACAATGAGAGCAAGGAAAGAATGAGAAAATATATTGGAAGTGTTAAATGAAAAATAGTTTCAACCAAGAATGCTATACCTGGCAAGATTATCCTTCATATGGAAAGAAAGGATAAAAACATTCTTAGAGAGCAATGTGAAGAAGAGGCAAGAGCAACCCCCGGACCAACCAAAGCCTGCATGCCACTGCATCTCCCGCATCCAGTGCCTATGTCCCGCCGTCATTGCTACCATGCCCAAAAGAAAGGCTGAAGGTGACACTAAAGGAGATAAAGCTATGGTGAAGGACGAACCACAGAGAAGATCTACAAGGTTGTCTGCGAAACCTGCTCCTCCAAAGCCAGAGCCCAAGCCTAAAAAGGCCACTGCTAAGAAGGGAGAGAAGGTACCCAAAGGAAAAAAGGGAAAAGCTGATGTTGGCAAGGATGGGAATAACCCTACAGAAAATGGAGATGCCAAAACAGACCAGGCACAGAAAGCTGAAGGTGCTGGAGATGCCAAGTGAAGTGTGTGCATTTTTGATAACTGTGTACTTCTAGTGACTGTACAGTTTGAAATACTATTTTTTTAATCAAGTTTTATAAAAATGCAGAATTTTGTTTTACTTTTTTTTTTTTTTAAGCTATGTTGTTAGCACACAGAACAATTCATTGTTTTTTGGAGAAGGGGCATTTGTCATTAATAGGATGTCACTGAAGTTTGATTGATTTGGACAACATCTTTCCCTTCTAGTTTTTCTTTTTTTCTTTTTTTTTTGGAGGTTTTTGCTATAGGGTGCGTGTGCTCGCCAGACAGACAGAGACAGAGAGACAGAAAGCAAGAAATCACCCTCCAGGGGGGATGGCCACGCCGCAATCCCTTCTCCTCCATTCTCCTCTCAGGATCTTGGGCACACACGCACATGAGCCCGGCGTGAGTTTTAAGCCACCGGGTTCGAGACACAAACCACGATCGACTACGTGGGAGTCCAGCAACATAGCCATTATGCTAACTGCTGGTCCCTTTCCCTTCTAGTTTTGAGAGACTTCCTCTTGGCTCCCAAGAGGAGGGATTTCCTAACACACACAGCCACCTTGGCACAGATACCTTGTGGTGTGGAAAACTTAACATTTGCTTTTATGTCCTCTCCCTCTCTGCCTTCAGCATAGACTTAACTCCCTTACACCAGAGACTTGGTGGGACCTGACCACAGAAAATTGGTTATACCAGCATATAAGGCAATCTGGACTTTCCAGTGACATTGAGATGGCATCCTTCAAAAGGGCAGCAGTTCCTTTTCTATATTGTTGGATCTTCAGGTTGCTAATTCTGCCATTTTCATTTTCTGAAAGTCAGAGTCAGCTCATGAAAAGTTAAACAATATGCTAAATGTGAAATGTCAACCCTCACTCTAAACTTTTCCTGTTCAGAGCATCAGATGAAGACTTCATTGGGTTTTATACTGGCTTTCTGATTTTGGTAGTCCATTGAAGAAGGGAGTTTGAAAGTTGTTGTATACTGTTAATGATTATCTGCCCATGTCCTGCCTGAAATTCTATGATTGTTTATGAAAAGTATCTTTAGTAAAGCTGGATACAGTTTGGCTTGGGGGGAAAAAAAAACATTTTTGGATAAAGAAGACCTGAGAGAATTTGCCACACACCATGCACCTGGTATGATTCGGTCCAAGACTCGAACTAAGGTCAGCCATGGAAATCCAGCACCTTAATCACCATGCCACCTGCTGTCCACAATCATTGAGATTTAATGAGAAATGTTTATGGATTTTTTTTTTCAGGCAATAAAAGAGACACACACTTTACCATTGAGGATCTGACATCCCTGGGTTATCATGTCTGTGACACCCTTCTGGATTTCTGCGATCCTGACCAAACCAAGGTAAAAATAGGGTTCTGAGAAATGGGGTGATGCTGCTGTAATCAGTTCCACCTGGGTCCAAAGTCAAGCCAGTGGGTTTACAGGTGCTCTTAATTTTCCTTTTAATAATTTTTCTGAAGTTTTCATAATCAAAATCAGAAACCTCAGGGACCAGCAGTTAGCGTAATGGCTATGTCGCTGGACTCCCATGTAGTCGACCGCGGTTCGAGTCCTGGACCCAGTGGCTTAAAACTCATGCCAGGCGCGTGTACGTGCATGCCCAAGATCCCAAGAGGAGAATGGAGGAGAAGGGATTGCGACGTGACCATCCCCCCTGGGGAGCTGATTTCTCGCTTTCTGTCTCTATGTCTTTCTCTGTCTGTCTGGCGAGCGTACATGCCCTATTGCAAAAACCTCTCCAAAAAAAAAAATATCAGAAACCTTGAGGACCACCAGTTGGCATAGTGGCTATGTCACTGGACTCCCATGTAGTCGACCACAGTTCAAATCCCAGACCCAGTGGCTTACACTCACGCCAGGCGCATGTGAGTGCATGTGCAAGATCCTGAGAGGAGAATGGAGGAGAAGGGAATTGTGGCGAGGCCATCCCCCCTGGGGGGTGATTTCTCGTTTTCTGTCTCTCTGTTTCTCTCTGTCTTTCTGGCGAGCGCACACACCTGATAGCAAAAGAAACTTCCCCGCCAAAAAACAATCAGAAACCTCCAACCTGCACACTGTTAGCAGATGGTAAGCCCACATAATTCACCAAGACAATGGAGGCCATTCTTCAGCAAATCACCAGTTCCTACCTCCCTTCTTGTTTCCAAAAATCAGATCTCCTTTTTCTTCTCCAAAAGTAACCCTGCCCTTTGTATATCTGCCAATTTCTCTCTACTGCCTCCCTCAGCACTTGCTTCACCGATTGCCTCTTCTCTCTTTCTCCTCCGTTTTTATCTCTTCTTACTTCTTCCTCTCAGTGGCAATGTTCTTAAGATGTCCCATCCTACTACACAAATGTCTCCTTGTTTCTCCAGCAGGCTGTTCCTATTCTCTTCACTCAGTTTCATGAAGTCTGCACTCGTGGTCAGTAACACATCTCTCATACCCCTTCTGAGATGTTGGCTCAGGGAACACATGTATGTGCCACCTTTGATGCAGCTGCTTAATAAAAGGAATGTTAAAAGGATAATTTGGCCATGACATGGCCTGTTAAGTCATCTGTGCCACAGGCCAGACTCGGACTAACCGCATTCTACATTTGATCTTAGCAGAAAAGCCAAGAAGTGAAGAAAAACCCCTCTCTAACCTTTCTTTCTCACTACTCAAAAAATTTATAAACAGACCATTGCATTGTTTAAGAAGTTGGTGATAGCCAGAGAAAAGTGGCTAAAGCAGTACTCGTTGGTGTTCCTCCCTAAGGAATTTCTGTCTTATTTCTGCAGTTTAGTTAACTTATCCGTTAACATGTCCTTATTAGCAGGGAGAATAGTTTACTCATCTTTGAATTCCCTGCCAAAAATAGTCTTTCATTATGTACTTAGCAAACATGTTATGAACTAAGAAATGAATTTGGGCCAGCCAGTGGCATGCCAGTTAAAGTGGGTGAATCACACATGACTTACTGCATTATTCTAGACCCAGACCCAGCAACTTGAAAAACACACTGGGTGCATGTGTGTACCCAAAATCCCAAAGGAAAAATAGATAAGGGATTTCAGTGTGACCATCCGACATGAGGAATGCTTTCTGAACCTCCCCCATCTCTCTGCTGGGTGTGCATGTGCCCTCTAGAAAATTTGGGGGGAAAAAAAAAAGAAAGAAATATTGGGCCAGCAAGTAGCATGGTAGTTGAGGCACTGGACTCCCACATGACCAACCATGGTTTGAATCCTGGCCCTAGCAACTTGCTTCTCCCTGCCTCACCCATGTGTCTCTCTCAGGTCAAATTAAAATAAATGAATAAATAATGGGACCAGCAGTTGGCATAATGGCTATGTTGCTGGTCTCCCATGTAGTTGACCGTGGTTCAAGTACCGGACCCAGTAGCTTAAACTCACACCAGGCGCATGTACATGCATGCCCAAGATCCTAAGAGGAGAATGAAGAAGAAGAGATTGCAGTGTGGCCATCCTCCCTGGGGAGTGATTTCTTGCTTTCTGTCTCTCTGTCCTTCTGGCAAGTGCACGTGCATTATAGCAAAAACCTCTCCAAAAAATATATATATATATAATAAGTTAATTAAATAATTTTAAAATATTTGTTTATTTTAATTTGTTATTATTTTTTAATTTGACCAGAGAGAGAAAGGGAAAGTGAGAAAGCAAGCCACCAGGTCCTGGACTTGAACTGTGGTTGACCACGTGGGAATCTAGTGCCTTTAACCACTACGCTATCTGTAGGCCCCAACTAAATAACTATGTTTAGAGAGATTTTTGCTTTTGGACACGTGAATTCACTGGATAGACAGAAAGACAAAAGGCAAGAAATCATGCCCCGTGGGGAATGGCCATACCACAATCTCTTTTACTCCATTCTCCTCCTGGGATTTTATGTACACACACACACAAAATCCCAAGCATGAGTTTCAGGCCTCTCTGGTCTGGAACTTGAACTGCAGTCAAGCTGGGAATCCAGCTACATAACCATTACACCACCTGCTGGTCCCAAATAAATAATTATTTAAAAAAAGAAAAGAGCAGCAACAAAAAATAAATGATTAAAAACAGTTTGTTTGGTTTTTTAATTTTTGCTTTAACAGTTCACTCAGTGTCTAGCAGAGCTTAAGGAGCTCTTACAACAGGAAATCCACAAAAAATTGAATGAACTTGGAGAAGATATGAATTTAGAAGGAAGCTGGAGTGACATCTCTTTGTCTGACATTGAATCCAGGTAACAAACTTGATTTCAAAGGAAAACCCAAGATTTTTTTTTTTAATTGTTTTGTTTGCTCTGCTATTTTGTTGGTTTTGGTTTTTAGACCTCAAGTGCAAAAAAATCGTGTTAATTATAATCCTCAGTTCATGAGACACTTTAATATATTCCTTCAGCAATTATGTACAATGGCAGGGACATTCCTTAAGTAGTTATATGCTGAGTGCATGCTTCTGACCACTAGTTCCAGACACTGGGGAGGGGTAGAGAGTTGGGCAGGCAGTTCAAGTAGGGTCTCATAGGAGATTGTAAAGCCTCTGCCTTTTACTCCAAAGGAGAGGGAAAGGCCTTGGAAGATATTGGGTAGAGAAGTGTCATGGTGTGACCAAGATTTTATTTTCCACAGGAACTCTGTCTGCTGTGTAGAAAATAGATTGTTGCAATAATCCTGTGAAAGGTGCTGGTGGCTTAGACCAGAGTAGTAGTAGTGGTGGGGGGAGTGTGTGAATTGGTTGGATTATGGGGGGGGGTGTATTTTTCTTTTTTTTAGACAGAGACTTGGTTTTATTTATTTATTTATTTATTTTGGAGAAGTTTTTGCTATAGGGTGTGTGCGCTTGCCAGAAAGAGAGACAGAAAGCGAGAAGTCACCCCCTATAGGGGATGGCCACACCACAGTCCCTTCTCCTCCATTCTCCTCTCGAGATCTTGGGCACACATGCACACGCTCCCAGCATGAATTTTAAGCTACTGGATCCAGGACTCAAACCACCATCAACAATGTGGGAGTCCAGTGACATAGCCATTACGCCAACTGCTGGTCCCAGGAGAGAGAGATTTTTGCTGTAGGGTGGGTGTATTTGCCAGAGGGACAGAGAGGGACAGAAAGAGAAAAATCACCCTCCCCCGGGGGGGAAATGGCCATACTGCAATATTTTCCCCTCTTGGGATCTTGGGCATTCATGCACCTGTGTCCAGTGTAGTTTTTATTTTGTTTTGTTTTCAAAGGAGAAAGTACCCCCTTTTTAAATTTTTTTTTTAAGCTTGCTTCCTTGCTTTCTTTCTTTCTTTCTTCCCTTCTTTATTTTAATTTGTCCAAAAAGGGACAGAGAGAAAGTGAGAAAGCAAGCTGCCAAGGCTGGGACTTGCTCTGCAGTCAGCCATGTGAAAGTCCAGCACCCTTAACCAGTACACCACCTGCTGGCCTCTCCTTCCCACCCCGTGTGAGTTTTAAGCCCCCAGGCCTGATACTTGAGTCACAGTAGACTGTATGGGAGTCCAGCAATGTACCCATTATGCCATCTGCTGAAGACTGTATGGGAGTCCAACGATGTACCCATTATGCATCTGCTGGTCCCAAATTCTAGGTATATTTTTAAGTTAAAATATGACAATTAGATTATAGGTTAGTTTTCAGGAATGAGAAAAAGAATGACCCAGCCATTTGTCTCTGTCTCTGACTTGCAAGAAAAAAATTAAGTTTTTAAAAAGTGCTTAGAGGGCCAGCAGATGGCATGGTGGTTGGGTGCACTGGACTCCCACATAGCTGACCATGATTTGAGTCCCAGACCTAGCAGCTTACTTTCTCATGTTCCTTCTCTCTTTCTCTGTCTCTGTCTCTCTCTGTTGAGCACATGTGCCCTATAGCAAGTTAAAAAAATAACTATCACCATTAACAAAAATGAACTCAAAGTGGATCAAAGATCTAAACCTAAGACTGCAAGCTATAAAAGTACTGATAGAAAACACTAGGGAAACTCTGGGAGACATTGAGGTAGGCAAAGACTTCTTAAGCAAGCCCCCCAAAGCACAGGCAATAATCACCAAAATAGACAGGTGGGATTACATCAGATTAAGGAGTTTATGCACAGCAAAGGACACCGTAATTCTTGTGAATCAACAACCCTTGGAATGGGAGAGAATTTTTGTTAACCGTGCCTCAGATAAGGGACTGATAATTAAAATACACAGGGAACTCAAGCAGCTTACCCGGAAGAAAATTATTAACCCAATTAAAAGATGGGAAAATTAGCTGAACAAACAACTCTCTAAGGAAGATATAGGAACAGCCAAAAAGTGTATGATAAAATGCTCAACATCCCTCATCGTAAAGGAGATGCAGATTAAAACCACAATGAGATACCAGCTAACCCCAATCAAACTGGTGAAGATTAAAAAAACAAATAATGATAAGTGCTGGAGGGGATGTGGTGAAAGGGAACACTCCTATACTGTTGGTGGGAATGTAAATTGGTCCAGCCACTGTGGAGAATGATATGGAGGTTCCTCAAAGACCTTCGAATAGAATTGCCATATGATCCAGCAGTTCCATTCCTGGGTATCTAACCAAAGGACAGGAGAGCACTCAGTCGGAAAAGTGCTTGAACAACTATTTGCACTGCAGCATTATTCATGATTTGCTAAGACTTAGAACCAACCTAAACGTCCACAAACTGATGAATGGATTGAAAAATTATGGGACATATACTCCATGAAATACTATTCAGCCATAAAAAACAAGGTCCTGGAATTTGATAGAAAGTGGTCAAATATGGAAGATTTGTTGCTGAGTGAAGCAAGCCACTTAACATAAACCAACTGTCGGCACTCTATGGTAGAGACTGAAAGACTGGAGGACATAAAAGCATTAAAAATTGTTATGGACACTAGAGACAGGCAGAAGGAGAGTGTGGAAGGGGAAGAGCATAGGAAAGGAAATTGGTGGGGGGAGAATGGAGAGGTAAGACACTTGTGGGACACAGATGAGGTTTGTTATCTGTTGACGAGGATGTGTATAATAGTCTGGTCTGGAATTTGACGAGGATGTGTATAATAGTCTTAACTGGTCTGGACTGAGGTATAAATCATGCTTGGTAAAGTCTCTTCACAATCTAAATGATGTATAGCGATTTAATGTACGAATAATAATTAAAAATTTAAAAATAATAGCAATAAATAAAATTAAATAATTAATTCTAAAAATAAGAAAAGAGCTCGTTCCCTGCTGCCGCTGAGTCATGTGGAGGCAGAGGCTCAGATGTGTTTAAGATTCGGCTCCACCTGTAACCCACCACCACAGCCAAGGAAAGCATTGCTGCTGGAGGTGTAATGGACATTAATACTGCTTTACAAGAGGAGCTTAAGACCACCCTCATCCACCATGACCTAGCATGTGGAATTTGCAAAGCCTCTAAAGCCTTAGACAAGCAGCAAGCTCACCTGTGTGTGCTTGCATCCAACAGTGATGAACCTATGTATGTCAGGTTGGTGGAGGCCCTTTGTGCCAAACACCAAATCAACCTGATTAAGGTTGATGACAACAAGAAACTAGGAGAATGGGTAGGCCTCTGTAAAGTTGACAGAGAAAAAACCCTTTAAAGTGATTGGTTGCAGCTGTTTAGTTGTTAAGGACTGTGGCAAGGAATCTGAGGCCATGATGTCATCAAAGATTACTTCAAATACAAGAAATGGAAAAATAATTAATAGGCTCACCATCCTCAAAAGAAAAAAGATGATGAAGAAGAATTACGGGGGCTAGCAGGTGGTATGGTGGTTAAGGCACTGGACTCCCATGTGGTAGACCGTGATTTGAGTCCCAGACTCAGTGGCTTGAAACTCATGCCAGGTATGTGTGCATGCCCAAAATACTGAGAGGAGAATGAAGTAAAAGGGATTGTTGTGTGGCCATCCCCCCGGGAGATGATTTCTCACTTTTCCTATATCTCTGTCTCTCCCCAACGAGTGCACACATCCTATGGCAAAAAACTTAAAATAAGGACTAGCAGATGGCATAATGATTATGTTACTGGACTACTATGTAGTTGACTGAGTCCCAGACCCAGCGGCTTAAAACTCTCACCAGACACATGTGCATGCATGCCCAAAATCCTGAGAGGAGACTGGAGGAGAAGGAAGTGCAGCATGGCCATCCCCCAAAAAGCATTACTGAGGGTCATCCTGAGACTTGATGCTTAAGGCAGCTGAATCCCCCATGGCCAATCCCATGGTTCAAAATCTTGAAAGGAAAGAGAGATGGAGGAGAAAGAATTGTAATCTGACTTTGCCCCATGGGGTGGGGATAGTGCTCCTCTCACTTTCTCTCTCGCTCGCTCACTCGCTCTCCCCGCCACCCTCATGAGCACACACACACACTCTGGCAGAAATTTAAATATATGTATTACCAAAACTAGTTTGCCAGTCTCTGCATCAGGAAGCCAGATATGACAGGCTTCTGTCAAGCCGTCCTTGTGATTGCACAGAAAAGCAGGTGGCGTGGTGGTTAAGGGCACTAGACTCCTACATGGTCAACCGTGATTTGAGTCCCAGACCTGGTGGCTTGCTTTCTCTCTTTATCTCTCTCTCTCGCTTACTCACTCTGTCCCTCTCTGGTATTTATGTATGTATGTATGTATAAATAAATAAATCTTTAAAAAAAAATACAGAGGAGACTGGGGACAGCAGGTAGAGTGATGGTTAAAGCACTGGATTCCCACATGGCTAACTATGGTTCAAGTCCTGAACCTGGCAGCTTATGTTCTCTCTCTCTGTGGTGAGTCCATGTACCCTGTAGCAAATTAATAATAATAATGATAAATGAAACTAAATATATAATTCTTTAAAAATCTCTAGGACCAGCAGGTGGCTTGGTGGTTAAGGCGCTGGACATTCCCACATGGCCAGCCACAGCTCAAATCCCGGACCTGGTGGCTTGCTTTGTCACTTTCCCTCTCTCTCTATCTCTTTGTCTCTCTCTCTCCCTGGCCAAATTAAAATAAATGAATGAATAAATAATTCTTTTTAAAAAATAATAATAATTCTTTAAACATCTCAGAGGGGGGACCAGCAGTTGGCATAATGGCTATGTCGCTGGACTCCCATGTAGTTAACCATGGTTCGAGTCCCAGACCCAGTGGCTTAAACTAAAGCCAGGCACGTGTGCATGTGGGCCCAAGATCCCAAAAGGAAAAAGGAGAACTGGGAGAACAGCCCCTTTCCCCCCCCCCCCCCCTGCCAGTCCCAAATAAATCATTCTTTAAAAAAAAAAAAAAAAGGTTTTATTGGGAGCTGGCAAGTGGCATGGTGGTTAGAGTGCTGGACTGTGGTTTGAGTCCCAGACCTGGCAGCTTGCTTTCTCACTTTCTCTCTCTTTCTCACTATGGTCAGATTTAATAATAATAATAAATAGAATTAAATAAGTAATTCTAAAAAAATAGCTTTTATTCACTTGTTATAATGTGATCTTTTAGTACACGAGTACAACGTGTAATAACTAAATCATGGAAATTACTATAGTACGCTCCAGCATCTCAACCATTTTTAACATTATATACTGAGAAAAATGGTTAACAGCATTGTTCCCTCTGAATTTTTAAAAAAACGTTATTATTTTTGGGACCAGCAGTTAGCATAATGGCTATGTCACTGAATTCCCATGTAGTCGACCGCGGTTCGAGTCCCGGACCTGGTGGCTTAAGCTCACACCGGGCATGTTTGTGTGTGTGCCCAAGATCCTGAGAGGAGAAGACGGGGAGAAGGGATTGCGGTGTGGCCATACCCCCTAGGGGGTGATTTCTCTCTTTCTATCTCTCTGTCTCTGTCTTTCTTTCTTTCCTTTTTTTTGGGGGGGATAAGTTTTCGCTATAGAGCGCGTGCACTTGCCAGACAGAGAGAGGCAGAGAGACAGAGAGATAGAAAGAGAGAAATCACCCCCTAGGGGGTATGGCCACACCGCAATCCCTTCTCCTCCATTCTCCTCTCAGGATCTTGGGCACACACGCACACACGCCCAGCATGAGTTTTAAGCCACCGGGTCCAGGACACGAACCACGGTCGACTACTTGGGAGTTCAGCGACATAGCCATTATGCTAACTGCTGGCCCCTATCTCTGTCTTTGTGGAGAGCGCATGTCTCACTCTCTCTCTCTCTCTCTGTCCCTCTTGGTCAAATTAAAATAAATAAATAAATAAATAAAGTTAAATAAAATAATTCTTTTGGGAACCAGCAGCTGGTGTAATGACTGTGTCGCTGGACTCCCATGTAGTCAACTGCAGTTCAAGTCCCGGACTCAGTGGCTTCAACCCCCTCCAGGCACGTGTGTGTGCATGCCCAAGATCCCAAGAGGAGAATGGAGGAGAAAGGATTGCAGTGTGGCCATCCTCCTTGGGGGGAGGGGATTTCTTGCTTTCTGTCTCTCTGTCTCTCTCTGTATTTCTGGTGAGCGCACACAACCTATACCAAAAAATTTTGGGGAGGGGGGAGAGGTTTTTGCTATAGGGTGCGTGCACTCGCCAGAAAGACAGAGAGAGACAGAGAGATAGAAAATGAAAAATCACCCCCCAGGGGGGATGGCCACGCCGCAATCCCTTCTCCATTCTCCTCTCAGGATCTTGGGCACACACACAAACATGCCCGGTGTGAGCTTAAGCCACCAGGTCCGGGACTCGAACCGCGGTCGACTACATGGGAATTCAGTGACATACCTTAACCACCATGCCACCTGCCAGCCCCCACATCCCTAGACATTCTTTAAAAAAAAAAAAAAAAAGAATTACTTACTTACTTATCTATTTATTTATTTATTTATATTTATTTATTTTAATTTGACCAGAGAAAAAGAAAGCACGCCACCTGCCGGCAACTCTCAGGACCCTTTTATATAACGTTTGAGCTTTTATTTACGTGGGATTGTATCTGTCAAAAACTGGAAATAAGGGCCTGCCCTGTAATGCAGTGGTTAAGAGCCATGCGCAGGGGGCCAGATCCCACGTGATCTACTTCAGTTGTGATCTTGGACTTGGTGGCTTGGAAAACATGCTGGATGCGCGTGTACATAGGCCCCAGATCATGATGGGATGGAGAAATGGAAGGAAAAAGAATTGTGGCATGACCATATCCCATTGTGGGGGGGATTTTCTCTGGCAAGTATGTGTGCCCTCTGGCAATTTAAACAAAAAACCTACAAATTAAAAATAACCGTTTGTGGGCTAGCAAGTGGAGTGGTGGTTAAGGGCGCTGAACTCCCATATGGCCAACCACAGTTCAAGCCCCAAACCTGGCAACTTGCTTTCTCACTTTCTCCCTAGCTATCCCCACATAGTCTGTCCCTCTTTGGTCAAATTAAAATAAATGAATAAATAAAGTTAAATATAATACTTTTTAAAAAACTAATGAATGAATAAAATAAAATAAATCATTCCTTTAAAGAAAAAGTAGTATTTTATTTAACTTTATTTATTTATTTTAATTTGACCAGAAAGGGACAGAGCAAGAGAACAAGAGAGAGAGAGAGAGAAAGTGAGAAAGCAAGCCGCCAGGTCTGGGATTCGAACCACAGTTGGCCATGTGGGAGTCCAGTGCCCTTAACCATCACTCTACCTGCTGGCCCCTCATTCATTTATTTTAATTTGACCAGAGAGAGAGAGACACAGAGAGAAAGAGAGGGAATGCAAGAAAGCTAGCCACCAGGTCTGGAACTCAAACCATGGTCGGACATGTAGGACTGTCCAGTGCATTAACCACCACACACCTGCTAACATCTAAAAACTATTTTTTAGGGACCAGCAGTTAGTGTAATGGCTATGTGGCTGAACTCCAATGTAGTCCGGTTCAAGTCCCAGACCCGGAGGCTTAAGCTCACGCCAGGTGTGTGTGTATGCATGTGCCTATCCAAGATCCCGAGAGGAGAATGGAAGAGAAGGGATTACAGTGTGGCCATTCCCCCAGGGGTGATTTCTCACTTTCTGTCTCTCTGTCTCTCTCTGTCTTTCTGGCGAGCACATGAGCCCTGTAGCAAAAACCTCTCAAAAAAAAAATTTTTTTTTTTAAATATTTGGGGGGCCAGCAGGTGGCGTGGTGTTTAAGGCGTTGGACACTCCGACATGGCCGACCCTGGTTTGAGTCCCAGACCTGGTGGCTTGATTTATCACTTTCCCTCTCTCTCTCTCTGTGTCTCTCTCTGGTCAAATTAAAAATAAATGAATAAATAAATAAAATTGAATAAATAATTCTTTTAAAAAAAATTTGGGATTGGGACCAGCAGATAGTATAGTAGTTATGTTGCTGGACTCCCTTATAGTCAACTGCAGTTTGAGTCCTGGACCTGGCAGTTTAAAACATTTGGAGCACGTGTGTATGTGTGCCCCAAATCCTGAAAGGACAATGGAGGAGAAGGGATTACAGGCATGGCCATATCCCCTGGGGGGGGTGATTTCTTGCTTTCTGTCTCTGGCAAGCACACATGCCCTATAGCAAATATCCCTCTAAAATAAAACTATATATGTATGTATGTATATATATATGTGTGTGTGTATATGTATGTATGCGTATATATGTATATGTATGTGTGTATGTATACACACACTCACATACATACATGCGTGCACACATATATTAGGAACCAAATAGGTGGCTTAGTGGTTGAGGCAGCTGAGTGCCACATGGCCTATTGCATGGTTTGAGTCCCAGATCTTTTGACTTGAAAATCATGCCTGGCACATGGGCATGTTTGCCTAAAATCCCAAGAGGAGACTGGAGGAGGAGGGATTGTGGAGTGGTCATCCACCCTAGGGAGTGCTTTCTCACTCTCCCTCTCTCTTTTTTTTTTTTTTTTTGAGAGGTTTTTACTATAGGGCATGTGCGCTCGCCAGACAGGCAGAGAGAGACAGAGAGACAGAAAGCAGGAAATCACCCCCCAGGGTGGGTGGCCACGCCGCAATCCCTTCTCCTCCATTCTCCTCTCGGGATCTGGGGCACGCACGCACACGCACCCAGCGTGAGTTTAAGCCACTGGGTCCGGGACTCGAACCGCGGTCGACTACATGGGAGTCCAGCGACATAGCCATTACGCTAACTGCTGGTCCCGGCCTCTCTCTGTGTCTCTCTGGTGAGCTCATATGTCCTACAGCAAATTTTTAAATTTTTTTAAATAAGGAAAAAAGAGTAAAGCAGCTGCGCACACCCAGTCTGAATTTGCTGTGTGCACACACGTGGTTTTCACCATTTCTCGGACATAATGCTCCTAATGTTTTGAGCCTGTTTGTTAAAGTGTTATGTTATCTCTGAAAGGGATGTCAGAGACTGTTTTCCAGTAGCCCAAGATCCCGAGAGGAGAATGGAGGAGAAAGGATTGCAGCGTGGCCATCCCCCCGGGGGGGTAATTTCTCGCTTTCTATCTCTCTGTCTCTCTCTGTCTCTCTGGTGAGCACACTCACCCTATAGCAAAAACCTCTCCAAAAAAAAAGAAAAGAAAAGAAAGGAGCACATGAGAAAAAAATCCCTGCTCTCGAATAAATCACAACCCCTTGCACATGCATAATCTGGCTTCTCACAACATCAGCCAAGGATAGCTTTGCCCATCTGGCCAGTATTTTGCTTTACCACATTGACTGTGAGCTCCTTGGTGTCAGGGGTTCTGCCTCATTCACCTCTGTTACCTGTGTCTAACACACTGCCTGCATGCAGTAGGCATTCAGAATGAGTGAAAGACTGTGCTTGTCAAAAAATTCTTAGGGGCCAATAGGCGGCATAGTGGTTAAGGTGCTGGACTCTCACATAGCCAACCACGGTTTGAGTCCCAGGCCCAGAGGCTTGAAACTCAAGCTGGGCACATGTGCATGCATGCCCTAAATCTCGAAAGGAGATCACCCCTGTGGGGGGTGATTTCTTGCTACCTCTCTCTCTTTCTGTCTCTCCTGCAAGCGCATACATCCTATAGCAAAAATCTCTTAAAAAAAAAAAAAAAAGAATTCTTAGTGATAGAGGCACAGACAAGGTGCAAATAGCAGACTAGATATCCTAACCCCATGTGGCTGGTCTGGTAAATGTGATTTCTACTAGATGTACTAACAGTTATTTCCCTCTTTCCTTTTGGAAATAGCACCAGTGGTTCTGACAGCTCCCTCTCAGATGGTCTCCCTGTTCACCTACAGAGCATAGCAGATGAGGTGAGGTCACATTGTCTCTTATACCCAGGAAGCAGCAACCTTTAAAAAATCATGACACTGAGGCCAGCAGGTGGCATGGTGGTTAAAGATGCTGGACTCCTACATGGCCAACCACTGCTCAAATCTCAGACCTGTTGGCTTGCTTTCTCACTTTCCCTTTCTCTTTCTCTCTGGTCAAACTGGAAAATAATAATAATAATAATAATAATAAATAATGTTAAATAATTATTTTTAACACCCTTATTAAAAAAAATCATGTGGGGCCGGCAGGTGGCATGGTGGTTAAGGATGCTGGACTCCTGCATGGCTGACCACGGTTCAAGTCCAGACCTGGCAGCTTGCTTTTTCACTCTCTCTCTCTCTTGCTCGCTCGCTCGCTCACTCTATCTTTTCCTGGTCAAATTAAAATAAAGAAATAAAGTTAAATAAAATAATTCTTTATATTACTACTGGGACCAGCAGGTGGCATGGTGGTTAAGGTCTTGGACTCCCACATAGCTGACCACAGTTGACGTACCAAATCTGGCAGCTTAAGAATCACACCGGGCATGTGTGCACACATGCATGCTCAAAATCCCCAGAAAGGAATGGAGGAAAAGAGATTATGGCATGGCCATTCCCCTTTGGGGGATGATTTCTCCCTTTTCCTCTTTTTCTTTTTTTTGGAGAGGTTTTTGCTATAGGGCACATACACTCACTGGAGAGATAGAGAGACAGAAAGTGAGAAATCACCCCCTGGGGGGATGGCCACACTGCAATCCCTTCTCCTTCATTCTCCTCTTGGGACCTTGGGCACACACGCACATGCACCCAGCGTGAGTTTAAGCCACTGGGTCCGGGACTCGAACCACGGTCAACTTCATGGGAGTTCAGCGACGTAGCCATTACACCAACTGCTGATCCCCTCACTTTTCCTTTTGTCGTCTCTCTCTCTCTGTCTCTCTATCTCTCCAGTGAGTGTATGTGCCCTATGGCAAAAACCTAAAAAAAAAAAAAAAAAAAACAC